TACAGCCAAAACAAGGCAAGAAGCTGACTGTGGAACAGACCATCAATTGCTCATATGCAAGTTCAATTTGAAGCTGAGGACAATTAAAACAAGTCCACGAGTGCTGAAATATGATTTTGATTACATCCCACCTAAATTTAGAGATCATCCAAAGAATAGATTTGACACATTGAAAACCAATAACCAAAAAAGCAGATGAATTATGGGATGACATCAAGAACATCATTCCTGAAGAAAGCAAAAGGTCATTAAAAAGACAGGAAAGGGAGAAAAGACCAAAATGGATGTCAGAAGAGACCCTGAAACCTGCTCTTGAACAGAGAGTAACTAAAGCAAATGGAAGAAATGTCAAGATAAAAGACCTGAACAGAAGATTTCAAAGAGCAGCTCGAGCAGACAAAGCCAATTATTATAATGAAATGTGCAAAGACCTGGAGTTAGAAAACCAAAAAGGGAAAAACACCCTTGGCATTTCTCAAGCTGAAAAAACTGAAGAAAAAATTCAAGCTTCAGGTCGCAATATTGAAAGATTCTATGGGCACAATACTGACTGATGCAGGAAATATCAAAAGAAGATGGAAGGAATACACAGAATCACTGTGTACCAAAAATAATTAGTTGATGTTTATCTATTTCAGGAGTTAGCACATCATCAAGAACCAATGGTATTGAAGGAAGAAGTTGAAGCTGCACTGAAGGAATTGGTGAAAAACAAGGCTCCAGGAATTGATGAAATACCCATTGAGATGTTTCAACAAACAGATGCTGTACTGGAGGCACTCACTTGGCTATGCCAAGAGATTTGGAAGACAGCTACCTGGTCAACTAACTGGAAGAGATCCATATTTTTACTCATTCCAAAGAAAGGTGATCCCACAGACTGTGGAAATTATTGAACAATATCATTAATATCACATGCAAGTAAAATCTTACTAAAGATAATTAAAAAACAGTTGCAGTAGTATATTGACAGACAGCTTCCAGAAATGCAAGCTGGATTCAGAAGAAACATAGGATGAGGGGTATCATTGCTGACATTGCTGACGTCAGATGGATCTTGGCTGAAAGCATAGACTACCAGGAAGATGTTTACTTGTGTTTCATTGATGATGCAAAAGCATTTGACTGTGTGAATCATAACAAATTATGGATAACATTGAGAAGAATGGGAATTCCAGAACATGTAATTGTGCTCGTGAGGAACCTGTACATAGACCAGTAGGCTGTTTGAAAAGAACAAAGGGACATTGCATGGTTTATAATCAGGAAGGATGTGCATCAGGGTTGTATACTTCACCACACTTATTCAATCTGTATGCTGAGCAAATAATCCAAGAAGCTGGACTATACGAAGAAGAACACAGTGTCAGGATTGGAGGGAGACTCGTTACGCAGACAACAAAACCTTGCTTGCTGAAAGTGAAGATGCCTTGAAGCACTTACTGATGAAGAGTAAAGACTGCAGTCTGCAGTATGGATTACACTTCAATATAAAGAAAATGAAAATCCTCACAACTGGACCAATAAGCAGCATCATGATAAAAGGATAAAAGATTAAAGTTGTCAAAGATTTTATATTACTTGGTTCCACAATCAACGCCCATGGAAGCAGTAGTCAAGAAATCAGATGTTGTATTGCACTGGGCAAATCTGTTGCAAAAGACCTCTTTAAAGTGCTGAAGAGCAAAGATGTCTTTTTGAAGACTAAGGTGCGCCTAACCCAAGCCATGGTATTTTCAGTTGCCTCTTATGCATGTGAAAGCTGGACAATGAGTAAGGAAGACAGAGGAAGACTTGATGCTTTCGAGTTGTGGTGTTGGTGAAGAATACTGAAAGTACTATGGACTGCTAAAAGAACTAACAAATCTGCCCTGGATGAAGTGCAGCCAGAATGCTCCTTGGAAGTGAGAATGGTCAGACTTCGTCTCACCTACTTTGGTCATATGGTTAGAAGGGACCATTCCCCAGAGAAGGATATCAGGCTTGCTAAAGTGGAGGGTCAGCAGAAAAGGGGAAGACCCTCAGTGAGATGGATTGACACAGTAGCTGCAACTATGGGCTCAGGCATAGCAGGGATTGTGAGGCTGGTACTGGACCAGACAGTGTTTTGTTCAATTGTACATGGGGTCACTGTAAGTCAGAGATGACTTAAAGGCACCTAACACAACAACAACATATTATCCCACTTGACTGAGTTGTCCCATGAGACTATGGGCCTAAGCTTTAAACACGGAAAATCAGTCTTAGAAAGTGTTTGGTTATGTCTGAGGATTAAGCTAAAACTCACTTCCATCAAGACATTTTCTGACTCGTAGTGACCCCTCTTTAGGTTTCTGAGTTGGTATCTCTATAGAAGTAGATTGCCCAATCTTCCTTCCAAGGAGTGGCTATCTGTATTTGTGTCTTCAATGAATATATATGCCTGGACCCAAATATATGCATTTACATGTACCTATAGATACTTCTAGGAGCTCTGGTAGCACAGTGGCTAAGACACTTGCCTGCTAACCAGACGGCTGGCAGTTCAAACCCACCAGCCACTCCTCGGAAGGAAGGTTGGGCAATCCTACTTCCGTAGTGATACTGCCTTGGAAACCCAAGGAGGGGTCGCTATGAGTCGGGGCCGACAACAACAACAAAGATTTATAGTCTTGGAAACCCTATGGGGCAGTTCTACCCTGTCCTATAGGGTTACTATGAGTCAGAATTGACTTGATAGCAATGACTTTGGTTTGGTTTATAGATACTTCTAACTGTTCTTGGAGCTCTGGTGGCGTAAGGTCTAAGGCATTTGACTACTAACCAGAAGGTTGGCGGTTCAAGCCCACCAGCCACTCCTGGGAAGGAAGACTGGGCAATCTACTTCTGTAGAGATATTGCCTTGGAAACCCAAGGAAGGGTCACTTATAAGTCAGATACGACTGGATGGCAGTGAGTTTGCTTTGGTTTCTAACTGTTCTAAGGAGTTCTGGTGGTCTATTGCCTCAGGCATTAGACTGCTAACTAGAAGCTTGGTGGTTCAAACCCACCAGCCACTCCACGGATGGAAGACTGGGTAATCTACTTCCATAAAGATTTACTGCCTCGGAAACCCAATGGGGGTCGCTATGAGTCGAAATAAATTCAATAGCAGTGGGTTTGTTTTTTGGTTTTATAGCTGTTCTCACCTATGTGCACACTTGTACCTACCTGTCACAGCTCTTATTTTTCTAGGATACAAACCTGGCAGTGGGATTGTTGGATCATATGGTATTTCTATTTCTAGCTTTTTAAGGAAGTATCTTCCTGGTTCCAGTCTCTCCACACCCTCATCAGTATTTATTGTTTTCTGAAGTTTGCTATTAGTGCTGGGGTGAGATATCTCTTTGTTGTTTTGATTGGCATCTCTCTAATGGGTAACGATGGGGAGCATTTCTTCATGTGTTTATTAGCTGCCTGGAAGATTGGACAATCTACTTCTGTAATGATATCCCCTTGGAAACCCAAGGAGGGGTTGCTATGAGTCAGATTCGGCTTGATGGCAGTGAGTTTGAGTGCGCATGTCTTCTTTAGTAAAATGTCTGTTCATGTCCTCTGACCATTTTTCAATTGGATAATTTGTCTTTTTGTTGCTAAGGTGTTGAAGATTTTTATATATTTTAGAGATTAGTTCCTTGTCTTATACATTGGTTGCCAAAATTTTCCCAGTCTGTGGATTCTCTTTTTGCTCTTTTGGTGAAATCTTTTGATGAAAATAAATGTGTAATTTTTAGGAAGTCTCAGTCATCTATTTTGCCTTCCAGTGTTTGTGCATTTTTAGTTATGTTTGATAGTGTACCTATGCCCTGAATTACGGCCCTTAAGTTTGTCTCCACTTTTTCCTTGATGAGTTTTATGATTTTCTTTCAGGTCTTTGATCCAACTTGAGTTCATTTTTGTATATGGTGTGGGGTATAGGTCCTGTTCTATTTTCTACAAATGTATATCCAGTTTTGTCAGCACCATTTATTAAAGAGATTTTATTTCCACATTTAATATGTTTTGGTCCTTTGCCAAAGATCACTGTCCATAGGTGGATGGATTTACTTCTGGGTTCTTAATTCTGTTCCATTGGTTTATGTATGTGTTGTACCACTACCAGGCTGTTTTAACTACCGATTTACAGTGCTCTTTTTTGTATCAGTATGAGTGTGTTGGCTTGTTGGGGAAAAGAAAAAATGCCATAACTGGAGCCTTAATTGCGTTTACATGGCATCGGAGAGTCAACCCCTGGCCACACCACGCCCTCCACTATCATCTAACTTTTTTTTTTTTGAAGAGGCACCACATCAGGAAAGATGATAGTGGAGGGCGTGGTGTGGCCAGGGGTTGACTCTCCAAGGCCACAAAAGAGCAGTTAAGGCTGCAGTTACCCACTTAATGGAGGGATCCTACGTGAATTATTAATAGGGTGCTTTGAATTTAGAAACCATCTCAGACAAATCTTAGTTCCAAATATAGTTTAAAGGACGCTATTTCGGCAAAGCAGCATTAAAATTCAACATACTCAACCTTTACTACATTTTAACCACAATCTTTGTCTAAGACCCTTGCAAATCGACCCAAAATAAAAGAAAAAAAAAGTACGCGCCGAGCCAGCCAGGAGTCGAACCTAGAATCTTCTGATCCGTAGTCAGACGCGTTATCCATTGCGCCACTGGCCCCGTACTACTTAAGCGCTCCCTCCAATCGCCCATCATGGCTTACGCAGCGTCAATAGGCGTCCCCAGATCAACGTTCCATTTTTGCCTCTACGCCGGGCGCCAAAGAGCCGGCCCACACCCTCGGGTGCCCCACCTTTCTCCCGCTAACGCGCTCCACCAATCTGCAGAGGCTACGTCACAACGCTCTTCGGCGCGCCCTAATCCACTGCGTCCAATACTGTTGCTTCGCGTTCTCTGGCGCGTGCACTAAGTTTGGTCTTAGCCGTCTTCCGTTCTCTCGCAACCCGGGGCGGAGAGAGGGGTGGGACTGGGTCTGGCGCTGCGGCCGCTGTGCTTGGGTGACCAGTAGCGCCGTAGCCGAGGTGGCGGCGTGGGGCGGGGCAGACCCAGACTGGAGGAAGGAGGTAGTGGTGCAGGATGGCGGAGACAACCTATGAGCATCTAAAATTGTGAGTTTCGCGTGCCAGAGGCCACTGACAGAAGGGATCTAAAGGATGGCAGGCGGGGCGGTACGGCGGGTGCTTGCGGCCGGCCTCAGGGAGGGCTCCTGGCCCCGGGTGGGAGAGCCGATGTGGGAGCCCCTCGTTTTCCTTGCCGGACGCGGTAACTCCGAGGCCCAGCCCGATAGTGACGGCCCCGCTGGACTTTCTCCATCCTGTTCTGCCTGGGCGCCTGCGGCGGAAGAGAGCAAAGCCGCAGCTTGATTTCCAATGAGTTGTGCCGGCGTTGCGATGCAGCTCTCCAGGCGCTGTGCTTTTCTCCACATTTTTCCGGGATGGTAGCTGCTAATTTTATCTGGATGGCTTACTAGAGAAAAAAAAGAAGTTTTCTCTTATTTAATGGGCCCACGTCACCGCTTTGAAGTCCTCAAATTGGCAGACCTCTGTCCAGTACAGTCTAGGCATCGATGCCAACCTGATCAGCTTTTAGGATGCAGAACAAATTTAAAGCCAAATCAGTATTCTTAAGGTCCTAAAGGTACTTTGCTTTACATTTTTGGGCAGGTGAAACACAAAGCAGGTTCTTGAGGTCATGTTGATAGCCAGAGGCTAATCTCAAGAATTTTGGCACTGCAGATTGACTTTTTCGGTAAAGCCAAGTTCTTGGGCTTTGAAAGATAGGCTCTGGTTGTTAAAGTTGTAACAGAGGCGTTTGAGGGCTTTTGGCTTGTCCTGGATCAGTAAAAACATAATTGCCCTTAGCATTTACCACCAGCCTCACATTTTCATGCCTTTGCTTTTAATACGTCTTTGGCATAACTTTGTTTAACTCACTTTTCTGTGTTTAATCCTTTACCTATTGTTGTTGTTGTTATGTGCTGTCGAGTCGGACCCAACTCATAGCGACCCTTCCTTGGGTTTCCGAGGCAGTATCACTACGAAAGTAGATTGCCCCATCTTCCTTCCGAGGAGTTTACCTGTAGGATATTTGAAAATCCAGGTGCCATTATATGAGAATGTTTTTAGCAGCAGAAGGAAATGTAATTTCCGAGATGCTTATTCCTCCCTAAATAAGTTAAAATATCTTGGTACTTAGGTGTCACGTTTCATTCGCAGAGAGTTGACATCAGAATGTGGTTCAGGCACTTCGTTATGCTCCCCAGAACCTCAAGCTCATTGATAACTTTCTAGAAGATTCAGTGTAAAGTTGTTGTTGTTGTTATGTGCCGTCGAGTCGGACCCGACTCATAGCAACCCCTCCTTGGGTTTCCCAGGCAGTATTACTACGGAAGTAGATTGCCCCATCTTCCTTCCAGGATTGTAAAATCAGGGATATAAAATTTGAAGAGAGGTCATATCCTTGACAGCAAATATTTTGCAGAAAAAATGATGATTACTTTTTCCTTAGCCCACTCTTTACTGTAATTATTTTTGAGAGCTCCAGCTGCATACCTCCCTCCACATTTTCCCTTTCCAAGATAATCACCTTGTTGGTGAAAGAGTGGCTGCTTCTTTTGATTAGGGTTTTGGCAAGGTAGCGCAGCATCACATGTCCTCTGCTTGGTAATTAGGTTATTGTTGTAGATCTGATAACCACTGAAGAAGTTAGTGGGATCCTGTATCACATCTCAAGTTGTACTTAAGCAGTATGGAGCTTGATGCAGTTCAGCATTTGGTTACATACAGAATGCAGTTAAATTTTCCTGTGGCAAAGACTGAATAAGCTAGAGAATTTGAGAATTATTATTGTTTTTGTACAGCCAGGACACTAAGTATCATCAGTCTAGACCTCAAAAGAAAAACAAAATGTTCTGTATCCATAAGAGAGAAAGGAAACCTGGCCCTTAAGTGGTGAGGATGAGGTGTTTGTATTGATTTTTGTGAGAAGTGAAGGCTAAATTTGGGTAAAAAAGTAAATTGGGTCATGTGAAAGTCATTCTTTAATTTATCAGACCTGAACTTTTTTTTTTTTTAAGTGCCTTTTTAAATAAAAGTGCTCTGGTGGCATATTGCCTAAGTCATCTGACCGCTAACCAGAAGGTTGGTGGTTCAAACCCACCAGCCACTCTGCAGAGGGAAAACTGTGCAGTCTACTTCTGTAAAGAATTACCATCTCAGAAACCCAGTGGGGGTCACTATGAGTTGGAATGGAATTGTAATCCCCTCTTTTTCTTTCTTTTTGGCTTTTCCTGCTCTAAGATGTTTGCCTCTAAGGTTTTTAGATGTGGCTTTTGAAATAAGGAATTATTTTATATGCATTTGGAGGTGGAAGTGTTTCTGACCCATATAAGAATTAGTAGGCCAAAGGCATAACCAGTTTTTAAACATGACTAGAAATGTGTTTTAAGAAAATACCATACAATAGAGATAGTTTGATTATTTCATTATAACATTATTGCTACTGGGTTTATTTAAATGTTGAAGTACTTGGGATTTTAAGTAATCATTTTTTCTACATTGTCCCATACTTTTCCTTAGTCCACCTGGGTCCTGCTAGGAGGTTCACCTTTCTGTTGTCCTGATTCATCCTCTTTTCTGCTTAAATCTCAAGTCCCATCATATTGGCCTATAGGATCAGCCTACATTTCTTAGCTGTCTCTATTGTTGGTTACTGTTGAGTTGATTCTGACTTGTCAAACCCCTAACTTTATTTCCCATAACTGCCCTCTCCCTGCTTTTTTCTTTCGTTCTTTCTTAAGCTAGAATTGGCTCATGCTCTTCTACCTTCCAGTTTGGTTTATTTGGATCTTTCTACCCAGAGTGCTCAAGTGTAGCAAGGATTGTGAAGATGATGCATGACTGGGCAGTGTTGCGTTCTGTTGTACATAAGGTTGAGTCAGAGCCGACTCAACGGCACCTTACAGCAACCCAGAGTGTCGTCTTCCTCTTTCTTCTTTGTACGTGTGATCAGTCACTTCCATGGTGCAGCCAAGGGACCTCAGGGTTTTTTAATCTGGACAACCTGGGATTCAAATCCTGACTTTGCTTTGTGGCCTTGGGCATGTTAGTTAATTTCTCTGAATCTATTTTCCATGTGTAAAGTGAGAACATTAATACAGGATTATTGTAAGGATTTAATGAGAATGTATGTGAAAATACCTAGTGTACACAAATACCTCTTCTGAAAATCCTTTTTTCTTTCTGTATCTCACCATTCTCTGAGCTCCTATAACAGTCTTTTTAAAAGCGAGAATGTCAGTTAATTAAAAATGAGGAATAACTGTCACAAGGACTAGATATTAAACGTCCATATAATTTACACATTCTGTCTCTTAGGATTGATTTACATTTACAGTTAACTGTGTAAGGATTGTGAGGATGGCGCAGGACCAGGCAGTGTTTTGTTCTGTTATACATAGAGGGTCACGCTATCAGTCGGAGCCGACTCAACGGCACCTAACAACAACTGTCTCATGGACAGGAAGACTGAAAGTGAGAATAAGCAGTCCATAGTACTTTTTGAAGTACTCATTTTACCATGTAGAATTGATGAAATCATTATACTTTGTTTTGCCAACAAAAATTTTGCAGGTATCTAGAATGTATTAGAAACATCTTAACATTGATTTCTTGTCTAGTCCCTTTTTAAAAAACCAAACCAAACACACTGCAGTGGAGTTGGCCCTGACTGATAGCGACCCCTCCTTGGGTTTCTGAGGCGGTATCCTTACGGAAGTAGATTGCCCAACCTTCAAACCGAACAGCCCTTCAGTGAGTCAGCTGAGTAAATGAACTTTCCAGTACAGAACACCTATCCACACTTCAAAAAGAAAACAATCTTGGGTAATCTAGAATGTGTTTCTAAGCTGTTACTTGTATATTATTTTCCCAGTGCCTCTGGGGGTCACAGGTTGATGTGTATCCTTCATCAGTGTTGAAGACAGATAATTGCCCTTGGCCAAACAGATCACTTAGCCAAGTAAGTCATGGCAGAGCTGGCCGAGGAGCACAGTTGGCCCTGACTCTAGTGATCATTCCATTACATTGCGTTATTCCAGTAACCTTTTCTCTTATCAGTTTGCTCTCTCATTCTCAGGCATGCCAGATGTACCAACGAATCACTTAAAATTGAAAGTAGTTGACATGTGCATATGGGTTTTTAATATAGAAAGTAGAATACTGATTTGTTTAGAATTTAAAATTCATGCCTTTTAAACTTCCAGGCAATTCTAAATATTCTAGTTTAAGACACCTTTTTGCTTTTTACATCATTTTTGTAAGCACAGATAATGTCAGACGATGATAATTTTGAAATTGCAAAACAGAACAGAAATGCCATATTGGGAAAATTTTAAACTTTTTTTATTCCTCTTGAGAGGTTAGCTGAAACTTAAATGGAAGGCAGGGAATTATTTGGATATGAAAATTAGTCTGCAGCTTTCTTCTGAAGCAGTATTGTTTCCTCAGTTAGGAAGTTACCTTTCTTCTTAAAAAGATTCTCATAGCTGTGAGATCAGTGGGGGTAGATGTGATAGAACTCCCAGAGCAGATGTGAGCTGAGCTGCATTGTGATGAAGATGTGTGTAGTCTGTGCAATACAATGGACATTCTGATTATTCTCATAGTTCTTTGTGGAGGAAGGGTGTAGGAAACCAAGATTTCCTTGTGAATTTGGCCACTGACAATACAGGGTTTGTGTCTAAGGCGTGGATGCTGGAGGCTCAGGTGGAGGATACAGGCTAGAGAGACATAAGTTGCTCCTAGGCTGCATCACAAACGCTTGGTGTTCTTGTTTTAAATGCATATTCCAGAGGCCTGCTGTAGGTCTGCTGAGTGGAAATTTCTGGGGGTAGGGCCTGGGAATCTGTAAGTTTAACCAGCTCTTGTGGTAGTTCTGTGTACTCTAAGGGTATATTAGGGACTGGATGGAGCTGAATGAGGACCAGAGAATGCCGGTAGAAGAGCGTTCTTTGGTAGAAGAGACCTCGATTCTGGAAGATTAGATGGTGCTGTGGATTGGAGCTTCAGATCAGGTGTAGTTTGGACCTGGTCCTGGAAAGGAATCGATC